TTCTGTCAATTTATGGTTTATGTAATTATGCGTTCAATGATCACTTATCACATCTAATGTATACCTCTTTTATGTAATTGTCGTCTAAAGAAACATTTTCTGGTTTCAATTTTTTATTTAAAATGTTAATGTTATTGAAAACAGCCGAAAGTGGAAGGCTTTTAACAAATCGATTATTAATTAAGTTTTTCTCTTTTTCTCTCAATATTCGCTGAGAATTTGTTTTATTATTAATGCCATCAAAAGTTTTTTCTTCATTTATATGTTTTTCTATGATATATAAAACAAATTCACTTTTTAGACAATAATCATAGAAATAAATGAAAAAATATTAAACAATAAAATATGAATAATTCGTAAATGTTAGCAATAAGTAAGCTAAAATTAATGCAGATTTATACAAATAAAATATTAAACACTGTAATCATAATATCATTATATTAATATATTTATGGATTATAAAAATCTGCAATGAGTTTTTAATTGAAATTATAAATAATAGGATAATATGTTAAGAGCCCAGTGTTGACAACAATCTGCCAAAGAATTAATTGAGTAACAAATTGGCTATAGTTTGGGATTTAATCCATCATTTATGGCATTAAATAATTCAAATTTTATATTCATTATGATTGAATGAAATTCTATGTAATCGAGTATTTTTAAGCACAATAATCTCATCATTATGTAGTATCAACTCAAATCAAAGGCTAAACAAATGTACAATAGTTTGTATAAAAAAAATTAGAGGACATATAAAACATTTTAATTAAATTTTTAGTTTCAGTTGACCTCAAGAAGAGATCATTAACTATTTAATAGTGAACTGGAAGTGAAATAAATAAAACAAACAAATATTGTTCANCTTTACAATAGTTTGTATAAAAAAATTAGAGGACATATAAAACATTTTAATTAAATTTTTAGTTTCAGTTGACCTCAAGAAGAGATCATTAACTATTTAATAGTGAACTGGAAGTGAAATAAATAAAACAAACAAATATTGTTCACTGGTTACTATTTTGTCAAAAATATTATTTTGTTAAATACTGTATTGACTAGAAAAAGGTATTTGAATACAAAAGCTGTACTATTGTTATAGTAAACTGAACGCATGAATTTGCATCCGGGAAACTATTACTCTATTACTGTCCATCACTTTTAGTTTTACGATGAACTCTAAATGTTTGGACCAAAAAATGCTAGATTTGTGTTCAACGACTGCGAGCTCATCCAGATTACTAATTTTGGCGAAATAGCCTCAAAGGCATCGCTGCCATCCCTACCATTCCTCTCATCCCATACCTTCCCCTGCGATAACGTATCGAAATAAGTTACTCAACTGAAAGTCATTGAACTTTATTTGAAAATGTATACTATAATTAAATTTTTGCTATTCATTCAAACTATATGTCAATATTTCGCTTTATCTTTATTTAATATTTAATTAATCATAACTTTAAATGACTTCAAAGTTATGATTGAGGCGTTTGTTTATAGCTTTCATTGAAAATAACTCTTTAAAAATCATTTGTTGAAATTCAATGTAACGTAAGCCATTTAAAATCAATGATATTATAATCATTTCACAAATTAAAAAAGTTATCATTCATTGCAATAAGAGATAAACTATTCATATAATGATTTCAATTTTCAATTATAATCAATAATTGATTCGAAGATTTCTAAACGAAAGAATTTTTTCATTTATTTTTTTAATAACTCAGACCTTTAAGTTTCATAGTATTTAAAGTACTTAATGTTTGAGTTCAATAACAAATACCTTGCAATGAAATAATAGTATTTGTTTGTGAATGTGTTTGTGGTTTTGTTTTGAGGTCTTCTTCGTCTTCAAAGTAAGGATTATCGAAAGCATAGTCTTCTTCGGCCACTCGTCCCGACTCTAAATCGCTTTTCTTTTGGCTCTTTCTTCCCTTTGTTTGAAATGTTTTCAAAATGAAATCTATTGCCGGAAATAAATATCAAATTCAATTCAATTGAAACCAATTCTTAATTATTTATTGCATTATAAAGGTATGACATATTAGAGACGGTGTATATTATAGTCTTAAAGTGCAGTCTTTCGTAACTGATTGTCTACTTTTGAGCATAACTTTCACTTAAGTTATACTGTATTTCATTCAATCGTTTCATTTGCATTAACTATAAAACAGTTCCTAATATTAAACATTTGACATACTTTTCCTCATTATTTACCACAACTGCTGAATATATACTTTACTTATAATAATAGATAGAAAACAATGTCAGAAAAAGTGGTATTTTATGGATTTATGTCGCTGTTTATGCATTTAATTGAAAACTCCAATGAATTTTGAAGTCCTACTCAACTCTTTTGCATAATCTTATGATTCCTTACTTTATTCATTATGTTTGACGAATCAAATGCTTTTATTAATTAGAGACAAAAATCACAACAAAGTTATGCATAATTTAAATATATTTTCTCATAAATAGCACTTTTTGGGGTCTTTTTAAAGGAGATGCAAATGTCTACATATTTCTAATTTCTCAGAAATTAAAAAAACATGTAATCTTTACTATAATTAAGGTATACAGTATCGTATAATTTTATGTAAAAATTTCAAAGTTTTCATGTATTAATTGTTAGATGATAATACAAAGAGATACTGTAAAGACTATTATATTCAGTATTTCTGAAAAATTTAATATATTTCATTTAGGCTCTAAATTTTAGTGTCTATGAGAAATCTCA